AATATTCAAACGATAAAAATATATAACATTGATTTGCTTTGAAATTATACAAACGTTTACAAAAGGTTATTTTTAAGACTTACCTATTGAACAATTAAATCGGATCGGATGTTCGTCTGTATCAGAGACAATTGATATACCATTTGGTTTGAAAGAGAGAACGGCACGAGATCCCATAGCAGGTTGTCTCCAAACCCTAGACATTATATCGAACCTTAAGAGAATAGTGTAAATGTATTTACATTATTCATTAATTTACTTAATCATAGCCCATCGATGTATATGATAGTGGACGAAAAGCTAGTATTTTTTGATATGGCATACATGCAATATATTCAGTGAAGATCGAGGTGTCAGCCCTTTTCTTCATGTAGGTAGTTTGTTGAAAAACCGCATTTTGTCGAGTGCTGATAAATGGATCGGAAACAAAGAACTATATTTTGAATTAAAGGATCCTTTCTAACAGGTGGTCCTTGCTAAAACCCCTTAGCATTGATTTCCCGAATTAACCTTCCCCTAGCAAATCGCCATGTAAAGAACCAACACTGTAACCGATTGTGATAGAACCGCAAGACCATTCTTGATGTTCTTAATGACATTTTATCACATTGGCCTTATTTGCTGTTTCTCGTAACAGCTATAACAGTTGTGGTGTGTTTAAGAAGTCACACCATTGTGGTTCCTCTCAATAAGGTTCTGGTCATGGACCTATTAATGGTGACGACGTTTACACCAATACATGTAATCTTAATTTAGTGATACTACTGCCCAATATTCATGATACAACTATTGTTCTATTCGGATATCATTCTTGCTCGATTTGATACCCCATTTTTCACCCCTATCATTGATCTTGGTTTAAGATTTTCGAATTGAAAACTTAATTATTTGACAAAATATCGACTAGTTTTTAGTAAACTCAGAAATACAATCGCTCTCAATCGGTAACGAATTCGTCATCATGACTGTGAAACTCAGTATCGATTTCAAAATCTAGTTAACTGTACCTGTGTTTGTGCAATATGTTACTTGTCGACATATGGTGTATATTTATTATGCTCTCATGAATGAATGTTGGTTATTTATTGAATTAATAAGGTGGATCAAAGGAGACGGAAATGACTTATACTTAAATAAACGTAATAGAGGTGTGTTTTGCTTTGAAACCTATTATGTTGAATTAAGATTTGATCATAACAGATCAATTTCATATTGATGGAAAAATAACACGAAAATGTAATAAAATAAAACATTTGTATATTGACCTTTGTACCGATGCGTCAGCCCTGCTTCTATCATATTGAATATTCAGTCGCGTAACTAGTAAGAAATTATTAAATTGATCTGTCGGTGCGTGTAGGATGGTAAAATAAACCTCAATACGTTTCTTTTATCGTAGATTTAAGAACTGTAATTGTCCGTTAAGTGGATTTACATTTAACTATTAAAAACTTTTATTGTGTTGATAAGAGCCTAAGAAAACACCCTCTCATCAAACGCAGGTACATTTGTAAGTGCCAAGATTTTTGTTTTCCGAATTCGTCAATCCGTTAAGTCTTAATTACCAAGGTTGTAGTATAAACAATACCTATTCACGTCAGCATTTTTAACATGTTTTCTCTCTGGAATGGGGCCAAAATACTTATTGTTCAGCTTGGTACTACTTCAACTCAATGACGGATCTGTCCCTTTAAGATACAGATACATTTTAAACTGGCTTGAAATCCGCTAAAAATTGTAGCCTGTGGTGCCTCCACAATTGTTAGGTATCATGGCTAAAATCACACGCCGACTTTGGCATATTTACGTCATCTGAACATCTCCGCAAACCCCCAAAGGAAATTTGTAACAAGATTGATATTATTCAAGCCATATAAACATAATATCATCAAATACCGAGGGCTTGTCACGCGTTCACAAGATTATTTCGATGTGCTTTTTGTATGTCAAAACAAATACCCGTACAATCCCTTTGCAAAAATCAAGAATTCCAGCTCTCATAAAAAAAAAAAAATTGTTTACACATATATGTATCAATGTAGATTATCAGTTTGCTATTTTTAACCGTCGGTATGCAGATCAACATATTTTGTATTGTCATTTTGATAGGGTGGTAACGTTCCTAGTTCCAAGAAAAGAAAGGATGTTTGGTATTTGATATCCAACCTTCTGTCAGAGATCACAAGCACGATTTGCACTCCAAACCAATGTTATCAGATTTATGGTATATTTCCACGCCTCCACATCTTGTGACTTTCTGACGATTACTGATGTGGTTAATGACCTTTAGAATAGAGGACTTATGAACCGACCGTTTTCTAGGACCTGTTATCAAATGCTTGTTCTAGAAGCTATAAGTATGTTACACGGCTAAAAATGGCCATTTAGGTTTAAAACACATACGTTAAATGCTTGGTGTCTGCACGAAAAAACATGTTTTTACTCAAGAGTTTCACGCTTTGCGATCTTTAAACAACTGACATATTTTCAGCCTGCGTCCCTACTAAAGTTCGACAAGTAGAACTTTTTCTCATTTTTACACTGCGAGACGAACTCGGAACCAGACTGAAAATAGGTCAGTTGTCTGAAGATAGCATAGAAAAACTCCGAGTAACAAGTTGATGTTTAAAGTTCTGTTGAAATATTTCTATTTCGCTCTAAAATTGATGTATCGAGCACTATTTTTACAGGAAAAATATTTTCTTATTTTAAGACCAATATTGTACATGAACATGCAGTAAAAAACTTACAAGTTAAATTATGACAGATATCCTTGAAAACCAAGCCAAATACTGAACTAAAAAGTTTGTTATTTCATTTAGTATCAACATCTTTCACTTCTCAATCATGCTAGACAGTTGACTTTGTTATTTTATTCTGGAAAATGTTTGTATCTAGTACTTGTTACTTATTCTGAGAAGAATAAGGCTACTAATGAAATACTTATAGTACCAAACAATGTCATGTGTGGCCACTTACCACAATTAATTAGTACCAATTGGACGTTTTAAGTGGAATTTTCTTGATTTATTACTTGGCTTCTATACTGCCACTGACTAATCTTGTAATTCGATTCTTTATTATTCTTTAATTCCTTGAGAGTGTAGAAGGAAGGTGGTATGGCGGCTGTTAAATGATAAGAGTTCTGTTGTACGATTATCTTTAATTTGGACCAATAACATTTCTCGGCCATCAAAGATGAAAGAAAGGTTCATCAGTCGATTTCAGACATGTCCTTGTCGGAATTCTAGCGTATCCCATCGAGATAAAATGGTGATAAGTGTATATTGAAGGTGATAAGTCAGTTGAAGTTATAATCTAGAGTTCGCTAAATTCCTTGATATGATCTTAGAATATGAGAAATGGTATAAGAATACACTGGTTCACATTCAAAATGCAGATAAAAATTATCTGATTTGCATTTTATATTGTTGTGGTGATATCTGTTTGACAAGGAACTTTATAATAGCTGGTATTTCAAAATGGTTCAACCTATAGAGCTGGAATTGGTTGAAAAAGTGTGTAATAACCCTAAAAATATGTGGTCAAAATATGATCATAGCTTTGATACTTTTTGAATAATCCTAAATTGGAAAGTGTTAACGTTTTTTTCTGAGCCACTCGACTTAATAATCAACTCATACGACATCGAATCACTGCCTTGAAAAAATACGTTTGAATTATCTGATTTGATAGCTATTCCTTACCAATATAACCACATTTAATCTGCATTTTTGGCCGCATCCGAATTGTTTTGAAACTAATGTTGTTCTTCGCTTAAATATAGAACAGTTTATAACGGTATAATTGAAAATGGTTTGTTATTATAACAGCAGTCAGTGGATAGTAACTACATTGAGATTAAACAAGATATGCTCTTACAGAGACTTTGGCAGAATATAACGTTTGCAAAGATATTATCTCATAACAATTGCACCAGACGTTATCGACGAAGCAATTCACTTCTAAAAATATGACCTGTAAATCGTATTAGTTGTACGAGAACCAATTATAACCACTTGAAACAGATGTTTATCAATATTCTTGTTACTACCAAATCTTTAAATCGAGATCTATTTATAACGCTAAACAAATGAAGGTACTAACTAACTAACGAAGTCGGTTAAAAATATTTGCACCGTAGAATGTTTCTAACAGTGTTTTGTAAGACGCTATGTAACAGGATATGTAGACAATAATCAATAATTAACTTACACCACTGATTCCTATTCTTTTTCACTCCTGATATCCCTGAAGCAATCCTTTGAACCACACTTATCCCAAACCAACCGACATATAAACATTGATTTTTTATAATTTTCATTCAAGTAAATCTAATAATCACTCGTATGATTCATGTGGCCGTCATAGGATGCTCAGTACATTTGAGAGAATCAAACCCTCCCTTCCCTGAAATCCAAATCTAGGAAGAGTTCTCGACAAATCAATATAATTATGGCCTTACACGTCCATCGATTGAAAAACTTGCACCTGAAATCTTTAAACAAAATAAATCCACAAAGATAAATTCTTCTCCTTCAACACTCCCAGTCCCACACCCTCAGGGGTGAAAACAATCCAGGATGGGAACCGGACCAATATACACAACGACTGAATATTTTGTTTATGTCCATGATACGCTATACCTGGCTTTGTCATTCATTTTCACCCTGAATATTCCAAAGTGTCTGGCATTTCATGCCTTCCTCATTGACCTACTTGATGTATTGTGATAACAATATATTTGAAGTTTTGCCATCTCAGTCTCTGCTGGAATAGGCTTTGCTCAGTCACGTTTTGTATTCTACACTGTTTTGAAAGTAATGTTGGTATTCAGAACATTAGCAATATTTCTTTTTTCTGTATTTTACTCAAATCTTTAATACAAACCAGGTGGTTTAAAAATGATAAACTAATGATGAGATAGTATTATTGACCCCAACGACCTCAATTAGACATACCTTGAAAATAATTTAACAGATTAGTCTTTCACAAATTTGATGTATTTTTATTTTGTAGGTAGAGATGAAGGACGATTAGTATATGATCTCCTAGAGAAAACTGGTTATAATCCATTAATCCGCCCAGTGGAAAACGTGTCGCAATCGTTGCTTGTCAACTTTTCTTTGGCACTGAGTCAGATTATCAATGTGGTAAGATATATTTTTTATTTGTTTTGAAAGTATTTTCTTTATGTGTATCGGGGACACTGACAGCATCAATTTGCAGGGCGTCTCCTTGTAATTATAAACTAAGTGTTTGATGACGCAACTATGTAGTATGTTCCAACGATGAATATTAGCTCCCCATCATCCGTCGTACATATGTTAAATACAATCAACTAATTGCGAAGGGCCTTACGTGATACAAGCATATTTGACGATTACTGACGTCATCAAACACCTATTTTTGGGCTGTAAATTGATGCTGTCAGTGTTCCCGATACACATATAAAATTAGACCACCTCTTTAAGCATTTCTATTTTGTTTTCGAAAAATTAGGGTGTGAAACAAAAAAAAAATAACCTAAATTAAATCAAGACTTGCAAAAAAAAGTAATCTATTCAGTCAATATTCCTTAATAATTAAATCAGTTTTAGTAAATCTGATACGAGGTGACTGAAATAAAGGGTAATGGATTGTGTAAAAAAAAAAGGCCACAGAACAACCGCATTGACTGAAATAGGCTTAATAGGGAGTTTGGTATATTTTGTATTGCTCCACATATTACATGTAAAACAGTGAAAATGATCCAAATAATACGAAACATTAGGGGAAAAATGCATTAGAATATAATCAACAACGATTTTTTATGTTTACACTTTCTTGAAATTAAGGTCTCATCTCGTATCAGATGGATATTTTTTCATACCTAAGACTGACATCAGGAATTCTATTGAGTTCATAAAAACAAAAAGAAATTTTAATAAAATAGGATTTCAATTAAGTTAATGTACGTCTATGTTCAGTCAGTCACTCACTCGGTTAAAGATATTGCTTTTCAATTTTATTGTCGACAATGTTTTTATTCAGTGATCGTCGCTTGGAAAATTGAAGGTGAAATATGTCTTACACTGAATAGGAAATCTAATAAAAAGACAATGAACGATAGATTTTCAACTGTGCCACAATTTTAAAAAGCGGAAAGAATGTCGGTTGCTAACTGTGGTATCTTTTGGGATTTTTCTTATATTTTTTGTATATATTTGTTCTTTCCTATCAGAGAATGCAGCATGTTGGTAACACAAAAATTAAAGTTTATATAAATTTATTTTGATTTATTTCATTCAGAACGAAAAGGAGCAAGTAATGAAAACGAATGTGTGGTTGCAAATAGTAAGTAAAAAATATCTTTTTTTTTTATATTATTTTGTCCTGTAAGTGGTAAAGAAGGGTTCATATTAGAAACGATAAGCTTTGTCCACTTTCTTGTGAATACATTGGATAGCATTTTAGAGGAAGCTGAATCTAAAAGTGTGTTAATTGTTCAATTTATTTCAGTATTGGTATGATTATCAATTGGCTTGGGACCCTGCTGACTATTCTAATATAGAAGTATTTAGAATTCGACCAGAATCTGTTTGGACTCCAGATATAGTATTATTTAACAAGTACGTATTATTATTCTTGCAAATTCCACCAAGCTCGCTCATATATCTATAGTTTGACTGGCTTGAAACCATTAAAATCATAGTTAAGGGTTCATAGAGCAAACATAAGGTTGGAACGACGGAAGACATAAAATAAACATGTTCATGTTGACTGAGAATGTTGAAATATAGATTACCCAACTTTTTTCTCGTGTTTCGATATGAGAGTATCTCACATTATTAAATTATCGATATCCGGTATCCCTCATCACAAGAATATCTATTGGTATCCCAAAATATATTCTACAATATTAGAATATCTTAAGAATATCTCTGGGTTAGAATATCACAAGAATATCCAGCAGAAAGTTGGAACATATCTCTGCATCCAACAATATTAGGATGTTTTTTCGGTATCCCAAATATTGGAACACCTCGATATCTAACAATATTAGAATATATTAGAATATCTCTCGGTATCCCACATTATAAGAATATCTTTTAGTATCCCACAATATTAGAATATCTCTCGGTATCAACATTAAAATATCTCTCGGTATCAATATTAGAATATCTCTCGGTATCCCACAATATAAGAATATCTTTAAGTATCCCACAACATTAGAATAACTCTCGATATCTAACAACATTAGAATAGCTCTCGGTATTTAACAATATTAGAATAGCTCTCGGTATTTAACAATATTAGAATAGCTCTCGGTATCCCACAATATAAGAAAACTCTCGATATCTAACAACATTACAATAGCTCTCGGTATCTAACAATGCTAGAATATCTCTCAGTATCAACATTAGCATAGCTTTCGGTATCTAACAATATTAGAATATTTCTCGGTATCTAACATTATTAGAATATTTCTCGGTATCTAACAATATTAGAATAGCTCTCGGTATCCAACAATGTTAGAATATCTCTCGGTATCAATATTAGAATATCTCTCGGTATCAATCTTAGAATATCTCTCGGTATTAAACAATATTAGAATAGCTCTCGGTATCTAACAATATTAGAATATCTCTCGATATCTAACATTAGAATATTTCTCGGTATCTAACTATATTAGAATATCTCTCGGTATTAATATTAGAATATCTCTCGGTATCTAACAATATTAGAATATCTCTCGGTATCTAACAATATTAGAATAGCTCTCGGTATCTAACAATATTAGAATATCTCTCGATATCTAACAATATTAAAATATTTCTCGATATCTAACAGCATTAGAACAGCTCACAGTTTCTAACACTATTAGAATAGCTCTCGGTATCTAACAATATTAGAATATCGTATCTAACAATATTAGAATATATCTTGGTATCTAACAATATTAGAATATCTCTCGGTATCTAACAATATTAGAATATCTCTCGGTATCTAACATATTAGATTATCTCTCGGTATTTAACAATATTAGAATAGCTCTCGGTATCTAACAATATTAGAATATCGCTCTGTATCTAACATATTAGATTATCTCTCGGTATCTAACAATATTAGAATATCTCTCGGTATTTAACAATATTAGAATATCTCTTGATATTTAACAATATTAGAATATCTCTCGGTATTTAACAATATTAGAATAGCTCTCGGTATCTAACAATATTAGAATATCGTATCTAACAATATTAGAATATATCTTGGTATCTAACAATATTAGAATATCTCTCGGTATCTAACAATATTAGAATATCTCTCGGTATCTAACATATTAGATTATCTCTCGGTATTTAACATTAGAATAGCTCTCGGTATCTAACAATATTAGAATATCGCTCTATATCTAACAGCATTAGAATAGCTCTCGGTATTTAACAATGCTAGAATATCTCTCGGTATCTAACTGTATTAGAATATCTCTCGGTATCTAACAATATTAGAATATCTATCGGTATTTAACAATATTAGAATATCTCTTGATATTTAACAATATTAGAATATCTCTCGGTATTTAACAATATTAGAATAGCTCTCGGTATCTAACAATATTAGAATATCGCTCTATATCTCACAGCATTAGAATAGCTCTCGGTATTTAACAATATTAGAATAGCTCTCGGTATCTAACAATATTAGAATATCGCTCTATATCTAACAATATTAGATTATCTCTCTGTATTTAACAATATTAGAATAGCTCTAGGTATTTAACAATATTAGAATAGCTCTCGGTATTTAACAATATTATAATATCTCTCGGTATCAATATAAGAATATCTCTCGGTATCAATATTAGAATATCTCTGGATATCTAACAACATTAGAATAGCTCTCGGTATTTATTATGTAGCTATTACAAAAGTCATTAGATAATATTAACAGCTTTTACAACAGTGATGTCATATACCGTTAAGCATTTCTACATAACATGAATCACGGACATTCGACGAATAATTAGAATGATTCAAAAATGATACACATTAAAAACAAAAACCCTAGAGAACCTATTTACAATCACCCTGAAGATCATGTCCAATATGTCCGTAAGAAAGAAAAGTGCAAAAGTACATATTAATGTACATGTAATAAGTGCTAGTCTGTGACTCTGTCCTCGCATTTGTCAATTAATATTACCTTTTATTTCCAGTGCTGACGGTCATTACGAAGTATCATACAAATCTAACTGTGTTATTTATAATACAGGGGAAGTTAATTGGATACCCCCAGCTATATATCAAAGTTCCTGCTCGATAGATGTGCTTTATTTTCCATTTGATCAGCAAACATGTCTCATGAAATTCGGATCATGGACATTTCGTGGCAACTCTTTAAATTATGTGTTTAAAAATGGAAATAATAAATTGGATTTCACGGATTACCTGAAAAGTGGTACATGGGACATTATCGATTGTCCTGGAGAGATAGTCAATGTCACAGACCCCTCAACTGGACAATTGGAACAACAGATAATATTCAAAATCATCTTACGCAGAAAAACTCTCTTTTACACAGTGAACCTCATTATACCATGCGTATTAATATCATTTGTGAGTGTTTGTGTATTCGCGCTTCCAGCAGATGCAGGTGAAAAAATCACGTTGTGTATATCCATTTTGCTTGCTTTAGTTGTGTTCTTGCTCCTGATTTCCAAAATTTTACCCCCTTCGTTGAAAATTCCTCTTATAGCCAAATATTTATTATTTACGTTTATCATGAATATTATAGCTATTTTTAGTACTGTGGTGATTATAAATCGAAATTATAGAACTCCGAGAACTCATCGGATGCCAGATTGGGTGCGCATTGTGTTTTTAAAATATATGCCAATATTTTTATTTATGAAGAGACCTGACCATGACGAGCGATGGAAGAAAAAAAGCTTCTCTCCTCCACCGTCGTATCAGCCAACTCCTGAAACAAGACGTGTCAATCTAAATATGAGAACTTCAGAGCTCATGGAACTGACTGAAATGCATCATCCGCATTGTAGACTCAATACAAAATTGAATTCTATGGAGAGACCTACACAAGGCAATAGTGACGAACACGATAACAAAGTTATAAATATGACGCCAGAATTATTCAGGGCGACAGAGGCTGTGAGATTTATTTACCAACATTTACGAACAGAGGAAGATTATGAAACGGTAGGTATTTTATTTTATTCAAAATCTTGTGCATGTACATTATTCGCATATTTAACTGATATGAAGGGTCCTATGGGATTAATTGATTGTTATAGTTTGAATTTTGTTTTTAAAGTAGGAAAATGTTTCCTTGGAAGAATATAATCAAAAGTGTTCAGGTCTCGTATTTCAAATCAACAAACTGCAAGCAAAATGTTGTTTGGACAAAATGAAAATAGCTGAAAATCTACAGTGCTATGTACCTTCGTATGGGTGTAGGGTTCTGTAGCACAGTTGATTAAGAACGTTGGTTCTTTACATGACGTCATAGCTTGGTTACGTAGAAATGATGATTGTAGGTTCCCTGGAAAGAGCAATGCAAAGAGGTTTGACCAAAGGTCCTTTGTAAACCTAAGTTATTACCCTTGTAAAATATACTTCATTGTCGTTTTCTTAAAACATGATGATATAGGTGTAAGGCAGTAAATATTGGAAGATGGGGGCTAAAAGCTATACTCTGGCTCTGGGACATCCATGTTTAAGACACAAACATATCCATTGTGCAAACTAATGAAATGTGTATATTTTATTTCCAGATTTTAGACGATTGGAAATATATGGCTCGAGTTCTAGATCGTTTGATGTTAGTTATCTTTTTAACCGTAACATTTGGTGGCACGGTAGGAATAATGATGGACGCTCCTCATATACTTGAATTTGTAGACCAGGACACTATCATTGAAAACATCATGGCACAATTTAACACATAGTAATGTAAATAAGTTAAATACTTTGTCTTGTTAACGGCGACCACATAACCTCGTTACATTGGAGAAGGTTATAAGCATTATTCGGCGAGAACCTCGTTACTTTGGAGAAGGTTTTAAGTGTTATTTGGTTATCAGCCGAAACCTACAGCAGTTGGGTATGAGGGTTACCTGGACTGAAAGAAGGTAAATGTAGTGGTACTCGATGGTTAAGGCAAGAATAACTTGTCGACAAAGAAGAATGTTGCATGTGTTACTAGTGACCCGCCATAACCTAGTTATAAAGTGTTAATTGACGATAGATTATAGGTTACAAGTGTTATTTGCTAATTCATCACTGGAGAATCGATTCTTACCGGGTGTATCGTCTACCAACACATATTGGAATGGAGATCATTCTTAGAACAGCTGGTCTAATCGTTTGATAATTTACATTGGTCAGTAGAACTTTCTGGCCCAAACAACCTCAATTCTAGCACAATGTTTTTAATCCATGACTGTGCGAATACGATTTTGATTTGAAACAGTTTTAAAAAATTGTCAGATTTGTAAATTCCTTGATAACTGTTCTTTATAAAACCAGAGGAAATCCTGTTTGAGCACTTGAAAGCAAGGGTTAAAGCTAATTTTATATTCTACTTCACCATTTTGAATAGAATTCAATCTTTCTATTGAAATTCAAGTTTTCTTTTCAAATCAACGAATCGAAATGGCTATGAATGATTTCAACAATAAAGTTAGTATGTTTGTGATTCCTTTTCCTTGTCTTATATGAAAGGAAGAGACAGATTTGTTTTTTTGATTATTGATATTGTACATATTAATATTATTCTCATTGCGTGAGGAATAGGAATTTGATGTATATTTTGTACATAATTTAAAAGTAATTAAGTTAATAATATTTGAACATAATTGTTATGAAAAAAAAAATCACAAACTGAAGTAATTAGTTGTGCACTGGTTTTTAAGATTTTCTGGTTTCACTTCATTGTTAGCGCAATGATTATCCTTGCATACCTCATGAAAGATTAATATCCATATTTTCCATTCAAAATTTAAAACAAAAATGATATTGGACTAGATTAAGCTCCATAGAAAAACCTCAGGACAAGTTGGCATTTTATTCAAATGTTTTGTTAATATTTAAAACTGCCGGGGAAATTTGCTTTTAATTCTTCAATGGAATTGCTTCTTTAGTTGTAATCAGCTCTTGATGAATGACAAAGACTCTTTCGCCCACTCTCTGGGTGTAAGAAAGCATAGATATGCTGACTTCCTACTCTATGTGCACATACGGGGTCTAAATCTGAAAATAATAAAACGATGACAATGTTCACTTGCTATAAAATAAACAAATAGGGCAAAGTTCAGTCAGTTTTTGAACCCATGGGAAAACGTTTCTTATATGGTCATTTTGTCAAAAAAAAATTGTAGGATGAAGGCACAGAAAAACGAATTAGACCGTTATCATTATTGACCTGGTGAGGATAATGTTAGTTTCGGATATTTGTACTGAGAAAACAAAAATCTATAACAATACGTTATTTAAAAAACTAATGTGATCGAAAATTTTTGTCTCAAATAGTTAACTTAATAATACGTATTTCTGTTTTTAGTACTTTTAATAATCAATTATAGTTATTCTAATAATTCATTAGTCTCCAAATATCCCTTATTTCCAAAAACCCAATAATATTTATTTTCCGAACAGGCCCAGCATCATCATTCTTCCCTTTTCTTTTCATTATCAAATCCTAAATTTCAAACAAGCCGTGGAGTTTTTTTTAATTAACCTTATTTTGCTAATCTATTTCATTAAAGGGGCACTGTTGACAATGAAGCCCAGATATGGTTGAAAATGTCAACTTCTTCATCGTTGTCATCATCCAGTCCAAAAAAAAAGAGAACCTTATGTTTTTTAGTTCGTTATGTAAAAGAGATATATTCTTGAGAAAGGCTATGTCCATTCTTTATAGCAATATGCAATAATTTGTTAAAAGGTTTTTGATAAATGAACATTAATGAACGGTTTATTCATATCTGTGTATGTTGTTTTTCTTTTTCTACATACATCGATGAGTTAAAGGTGTCTATTGTACCGCCAACCCTGTTTAAAACAGCCCCTATATAAAGCAATATTATTCGATGAGCATTTACTTTACATTTAAATGATTAGTCTTGGTCGCATCGTGGAATATTCTGAAATTGGTAGTAAATATTGTACTTGAAGGAAAGTATAGAGTGTTTTCAACTTTTGTGAATGGTGAAACAAACCACAATGCACAACAGTGTGAGATATTGTGAGAAATATAAAGCACCATGTCAAGTCTTTGTTTAAGGTGAAGCATTTATACATACAACTATCAATGAATATTTGAACCTATGTTCAGAAAATCTAAGTTTTCATTAACGTAATGTACAAATACAATTGTGTATTTATTTCAATTTGAAATGAACATAAAAGCAAAATATCAAAATACACCATTTCATACGACCTTAAAAGCAAAATTTACAATTTGAAATGACCATAAAGGCGAAATATCAAAATACACAATTTGATACGACCTTAAAAGCAAAATTTACAATTTGAAATGACCTTAAAAGCAAACTTTACAACTGAAATGACCATAAAAGCAAACTACACAATTTGAAATGACCATACTTTTCGGTACGTCGAAATCTGTTGGTTTTCTAAAGACTGTTTAGCGACCGTCCAACATTAGCTGTAATTGACGAACGTAGTTATTATCCATTGACATGTCCTGTCTAATTGGGGTTAATTATCAACATTACCAATAGTCTACAAATTTTATACACAATTCTGATGGAATGTCTTTCAGGGACTTGACAGGACTCGGAAATATGTTTTGTTGTGTCCGTCAATCGTTATCTTCCCTTAAAGGACTGTGACTTTTGCCTTGATATGCTTTCTAATGACTTCACATTCGTCAGTGAAATATTGCTAGAATCTAGTCTGAAAACCAATATACTGACCAATAAGCTATCTATACAGCATGCAGCTATTGACATTAAGCATCATTGCTTTCAGTTACCAAAACAAGGCATAGTCAATAGGTCTTTACCACGGATGACGGACTGAGACAAAAGTGAATGTATGCTGGTTCGAACGGTAAAATTAAAACGTTTTAAACTTGTAATGATTTGACTTCTCGAGGATGAATTGATACTATAAAATTATAAACCTAATATAGTTTTGCTATCTGGAACAATTCTTTTAATCAAAGAGCATTTTCTAACTGTGTCGTTTGAAGTCTTAAACCGAAAATCACCTACGTCATGTGATCATTGACTCCAAACATTAAACCCGAGAACAAAACCATCTTGAAATAGCTACACTTTACTATTCGATTACCACAGATTCGATGAGGCGAAAAATCACATTTCCGAAGTCAAACCACAAACGGCTTGCCTGTCGGTATCGCCTATTATCTTCTGCTTCGCTGGGAAGGAAAATAACGAGGGAGATTTAAAGGGACTTAATTGAACTTCATGTCAATCCACCAGTTTTTTTCTTCGGAAATTCAGAAGATCAAATACTCTAAGTGTGATTGATTTGCAATATTGTTCAGAATACATGTATCATAACATATCAATGAAACTTGGTAATAGGAAAGGAAATACGCACTCTACCGTTTTCAAAAACGCATTGAAAACTATCGTTCTATTATTTGGTCTGTAAATACAATTCAACAACTTATAATTATTCGAAGTCGAATTCGAAGCCTAACTGTGCTATCAACCTTAGAATGACTTTGCATTAAAAAAAATATTTAGTTTTAAAATTTGACCTTGAACATAAACAGCGAAGACGGTGGCACTGACCACTCGGATAAATTCTTTTAATATGTGCCTTGCACCTTAAACCTTCGTCTATAACGGAGGATTGGTCAACATTCCATTTAATTCTAATAACCAAAATCTACGTAGGAGTGGCTTGTTCGCATGGTAGTGATACGGTTGCTTACTGATCTGTAGTGAAAACCAGATCTTTAGAGCATCCCAATGAAAAGTTAAATAATTAACAATAATAATTAAGGCAGTTTGGATATCTTAGGCACTCCTTGGATAGGATTTTGCTAATCTTGTTATTTGCAATATGACTTAACTATAAAAAGGAAATTATTTCTGGTTTACATGAACTGTGAAATTATGGTTAAAATTTCACCCAGACGACATTGATATAGAGGACAGGTTTAAAGTTACTATGTAGTGAAAGGTATAGCGTGCACGATGCTTTTCGAAATTCTTTATTGCGTCGGGGTCAAAAATGAACGGTTCACAAAGATGGTAATGTTGCGATTAGATTAAATTGTAATCAAACGAACTAATTTTGAGTGATGACCCAAAAGTAACGATACTCATGTGAACAGTTTGATCAATGCGAGGGAATTCCGATTCATCATCATTATCACTAAGCGTATCGTGAAGATATGATATACAGATATTTCTAATGGATTGAAAAGACTGAGAAATAGTAAACAGTGAATTGAGCTTCTGCAATATTGTGACAAGTCAGTCGTAAAATGTGAACTAGTATAGATAAATTCAATAATAGCGGGCCGACCTTTCGACACTCCTTCTTTTTATTTATTGGAAAATTAGGTGATACGACACACACATTATTGATTTTGTAGGATATTAACAGGGTAAAAGCAATAAATACACTCAATGAATATTAAAGAGACCCTCCCAGGTTTAAATTAAGTACAATATATTTGTTCTCTATATCATCTGATTTGAAAATTGTACGATATACATTAATCGAGACTTACCTCTAAAGTGTCAAAAATGAGTTTTACAAGAAGTCGTTGATTTTTATTTCGTTTCGCATTCTGATCACATTTCAAATTCCAAACCCTCTTGAACAATGAAAAGAGAAAATTAGAAGAAGAATGACTGAAAGCAAGTCTACTACCTCATATCGGCATTCGAAAGCATTCAGAACATTGCCGTCATAACAATAATGGTGATATCGTAACATA